TTTTTTTTTTTTTTTTTTTACAGTGATTTTGTAATTCACAAAACGCGCGTACTTCGAAGTCGATGCGGCTCAGATTCTGCACGAGCAGTAGCAGTAGGTTGCTGTTGTACAATTCCTGTGCAAGCTGGGCCACCACGATGTCCGCCTGGGGCTCCGTCTCGGCCGTGCCGTAAAGCATGTTTTTGATATGGACAAGATTCTTGCTCACATCTTCCTGGGCCTAAAAGGGGACGTATTTCATCGTAGAAACCGACGCTTATCCACAACAACGTACCTTCTCTACCTTCTTGTCGCCGCGTTCCAACGCGTTTACCGCCTCCTTCAGAGCCTTTACCACCTCCGCTGGACTTTTCTGGGACTTTCCAAACAGAGGCATGTTTTCTTACAATGTATGCACCTTTATGAAACATGTCCAAAAAAGAAACAGAAATTCCTTAATTGTTCTTGCGAGAACGCTCCAAGAGACATACATCTAAGAAATGTGTGTCGGATTGATGTTTAAACGTACGTACATTTAAAATCTTGTTATTTAAATTATGTATTTAACTGTTTTTAAATTATGTCTTTAATTGTTTTTAAATTTGTGCAAGTTCTTTTACATCTTGCGTTATTGTTCACTTGTTTTAAAAATAAATTTACGCATTTTGAATGAATCAATGGTTTAATCTTCTTGTTCTGGATCTGCGATGCGCTGTAAAAATCACCGAAGCGGTCGTGAAAAATTTGAGGAAAATTTTAACGTTACGGAAACGGAAGAGGAACATTAGAAACGCATCGTTGCGGCTCGCGTGCGGATCGGGAGCCACAGTGAGAAACCGAGTTCCACGTGTTCGCGATAACATTGCCATGCGGTCTCTAGTTTTTTAAATTTCTATGCAAAACACCCCAAGTGTTAGTTCTCGAGATCACGTGCAGAAACATTGCGCGCATATACACGCAATTCAGTGCACTCTTAACGGTGAACAAAACCGATTTTCTCTTTCGTCGTCGAGTTTCGAACGGGACGGCGTTCTCGCGCGAAAGAAATCTACCCCTTTCCGAGGCACTCTAACCTCCAAAAGAGCGACTGCAAACACGGGTCTGTTCAGAGGTATCACCTGACCGAGGGGGAGGGGGATGAGAAACGATCAGGTGAAACCTCAAGAAAACAGAGTTGAGTCCGCTGAGGGATGGATCGATCGTGGGCGCGATCGTTTCGAACGCTAGGTCGAATCGCGACGATCGATCGACGAGATCTCGGTGTCGCGATGTCTTCTTGATCCTAACCTACAAAATCCGAATCCATCGACTTACCATGCAAAGGAGATCCAAGCGATGTGGAGGAACGCGCCTCGAACGTGCGCGAACGCGCTCGAGATCTCCCCCGGACGCGGTTGCGAAACGTATGGCGAACAAGAGGATCGCGCGCTGGATACGTGTCACATCAGAATTCGCGATCTTACGTACGAACACACATGTACGGCGCGTATACACACTCAAACACGCGTGTACCACACACACACACACACACGCACACACACAAAATCACGTATAAAGCACGCACACGTCGCTGCGTTCACGTCGGTGACAATTGGGATTCGCGATTTGCGTGTCGTTTGCGAGTTTCAAAGCAGCGCTAATGTATTTCGCACGAATCGTATATTGGGTCGCGCGCACGACGAGTGAGTCACGGGACCACCGAGGATCATCGAGAAACGAAACGAGAGATCCCCCCCGTTGAGAAGCTCGTCGATCGCGTTCTTCTTCGTTGGCGAGACGAGGATCGACTTTATCCGCGGCTTGTTCTTCTCGATGACGACCCAGCGGTAACGAGACTGTCGAGTGTGACGGGATACGCAACGGTCACATATGTATTTCACCGCCTACGTGCGTTCCCCGCTGCTGCTGCGTGCACTGCGCATCTGAGCGAAGCAAAATCGCCAACAGCAGCCACCGTCAAACGATAGAAACACTCCGCTCTGTGTTCCCAGCTTCACTGCCAACGCTGAAGAACTTGTTCGCGTTAAGGTCCGTGTCGGGAACAGTGCGACCAATCGGAACGAAATTCACTGAACGTGAAGAAGGGCTTTCCTTATTCCGATTGGCTGCATTCTGATTCTGGTTCTGATTCGAATCCCAATTTGCAGAGGACTTTGCGGCAATCACTTCAGTGCTGGCAACTTCGCAACCCGCGGGGGGGAGGAGGAGATCTTATTTGTAAATGCGCTCGAAAACAAAAGACTGATATTCACAGTCCGATCTTTTGGGTCGCAAGGTCCAGTGAAAACACACCCAAAAATTATTTACAAATGTGAGAGATACTAGAATAATATAAACAATTTATAATATATATATATAAATATTTTATTTGTTATTTTAAAAGTTATATCACTAATATGCCGCGTTATATACCTAATGCCGCGTTCCGACAATTCCTAATCTCTCAAGAGGCACAACGAAGCTAAGAAGAACCATAACCAGGAAACGAACCACAAGCGTGCGACACATATTCTCTCCTTTCTGAGATTAAAAAAAATTGCCTGCATCAAGCAAATGAGGACGTTTGTTATTTAATCAGCTTGCATATCTATTGTTTTTAGTAAAAAACACCTGTGCGCAAAATATTCCGTTGTATGTACTCTATTGTCATTGTAATTTTATATGAAGTGGCAAAAGCGTTTTTTTTTTTTTTTCGTAAAGTGACATTGCACTGCTCGGTGAACATTTCTCCGAGCTGACGATATTGTTTGTGACATTGTTGTTCTTGACGATTTTTTACATAAAAACTTCTCTTCACGGAAACTCAGCCTTTTCCTTTAGCTCTTTTCAGATTGCCTGTTAAAGCGAACTGCCTTATGTTTGTCCATTTCATCTTCATCGTGATTATTCTCGAAACATTCGAGACAATAAAGATCTCCTGTACAGCCGGTGCACCTGTACAGGTCCATTTTTGTCGCGTTATTTGAGCACATCACGCATTCAAACTCGTCTTCATCCTCGTCCTCATCTTTTTTACTTGGAGAAGTCTATCAATATAAAAACATAAATGTGATATTGATAGAAATGTACATATGGTTTGGTGATTTGCGCGGAAACTTACATTGTCTACTTCCGTTGACATTGCCTTTATTCTATTAATTAAATACTCATCAGTATCACCTTCCTCTCTGTTGACTGGAGTGAAATACTGTAAAATTTAAAAGATTGGTGATTAGTTTACAGACTGATTTTGTACTGCTCTGTGTCTCAAGAGTTCCATCTTTAACTCCACTCACAGTTTTTTTGTCTCCGTCCCGTAAAGAACTCAGTCTTTCCTCAATCTCTCCGCAAGGATCAGCAGATGGCAACTCCAGCTGAGCAAGATATTCCTGAATCAGATCGTCCGCCTTCTCTTGGTCAGTTCTGCTGTCCACTTGATGTATCTGGTAATAATCAATCTGTAAGAGAATCTATAGAATGTTAAAACACACAAATGTACAACTCACATACATTTACATTACTTCCACTGGCCTCCGGGTCCTGATCCTTCAACAGTGCTAATCTTCGCTTTATTTCCTCAACCGTGGGTAATGGGATATTCTTCTCTTTGTCTTTTAATTTCTGTAGCCTATCCACTATTTCCTGATCGGCTGGCTCCAGCCCTTTCTTCAACTTGTCCCAGTGATTTATGTGTTTATACATTACTATTGGTGGTTTTACTGGATTTTCCAATGAGTCCAACCTGAAATATTCATTCAATATTACAGCAAAGTACACTTCATTTTTATTTTTTTGTGTGTTATGTTGTTTGCATACACACACAACTAATAAACGTGATTTATATAAATGATTCGAGTCAATTTATTAGATGTGAGAAAGATGCAAGTTTTAAGATCAAGAACGAATAAATGAACGAATGAATTAATTAATAATTGAAAATTTGTTGAATCGTTGCTATTGACGATCGATAGCAGTATCGATGTCGTATTGATTATATGATTTTGACATTGTTAAAAACTATCAAGATCCAGTTCTACTCACTTCATAGTAACATCAACTGGCGCAAGTGGCTCTTTGCTGGCGTCAGACATTTCAATATTGTCTATACTAAGTTCGGGACTCAGGTCTTTCATTTTGTTCAATTTATTATAACAGCGACCGCAAACTTTCTTCGTTCCTGTGTTGGGAATATCGCATTTGTACTTGAGACACTTGTTACAATAAGAAAAGCCGCAGCTAGGACAACCAATCTACAAAGCATAAAAATTGTGCGCTGCAATGTTCATTCTAGCGAATTTATCTCTTTCGAAAGATCGAACAACGCGGCGACGAGACTTACGTCCTTGGTGAAGAACGAAAATCTTGCTTGACAGGTGTTGCAGGACATTCCCTTAACTCGTTACCGATTCTCTTTTGTCATGACCATGTAGATATACAATTGCACGATGTGTTTATAAGAGTTTGAATCAAATATTCAAAGAATATGATGATCAACGTATTATCTTTAGCACCTTTACGTAAAAGCATAACACAACACGCAATTTTCCAGCCGATTAACGGGTGATAGCGTATGACTAATGGTCGTACGTATTCTATGTATATATATATTGCTGGTTTGGTTTGGTGCACAATATTGGCTCAGCGGACCGGTTAAAGCTAGTCCATACGCCATTCTATGTAATCATATGAAGCTGTCAAAGGCTGCGTTCGGAAAGCGCGCTATCAGCGCTATCGCGTCATTCTATCTTTGTTTTACATCTAATGAGCAATAAAGATAGAATAATGGGTGTGTTTAGCCGAAGCTAGCGCTACGTAGCGCTACGTAGCGGTTTCATGTAGCAGTTGCAATTGCTGCGTTACTTCTGCTGGACAGTATGGCTACGCGTAGCATGTTCTAAGTAGTGGCCGCCATTTACAATAATACCGTCTCAATTATAATACTTTGACACTTTTTTTGCCATTTTTATAAATAATTAAAAAACA